TGCAGATGAGACAACTCCTGCAAGTGTGTTAGAAAACAAGTGCAATCCCCAAGAAACAAAGTATAAGAACTGTTATATTGGGTCACACTAAAAGCGCGACAGGCTTTCTCCAAGGAGAGACGGGGATGCATAGGCAAATAGTACAAAATGCGGCATTTGTAGACCACTATTTCCCTTGAAACACCATCCTAACTTACGACAATAAATCTGTATTTTTCTCCATTTTCAATATGCTGGGTATGATTGTGACTATATATCAAAGTGACAATATGACTCTCAGGGAATGGAAACCACTACTACAAAAGCAGAAGTAAAATTCTCAGCATCCTGAAATTCCCACTCCCTGATCTCCACCTGAAATTTTAAAMGGAACCAGCAAACCATGGGACTGAGGAGGTTTGGTTTTGTTTTTCAATAAAACTGTTGAGACTGGAGTAGAACAATTGGATTGGAAAAAGAAGGAAAAAAAACCCACTACATTTTCTATAATTAAGAAGGGTAAAACTAAACCTAAGTCAAGGGCTCATTGGGTGATCTGTTCAGAAGAAATTCTAAAAGAAAGAATAAACATGAAATATAAGTGGATCCATATAGATATGGAACAAATTTACAAATTATGGAAAGGGTGAATAAATGAGAGATGAAAGCACACTGAAAAGGAACTAAATTTTTACAGATTTAGCAAATTTATTAGCCTTGTCTAAGCCTATCTTCAATGAAACAAACAAAATTAATCTCATCTATTCTGTAATCAGTAAAACACTCAAAATAGTGTTACATTGAAAACCTTAATGCTAGCACAAGAAGTTGGGCCATTCTAACAACATTTGCTGAAGACACAATTTGGCTGACATCATTGTAGGGACGATTTGAGCCCTGTCACAGAAATGGATGACAACTAACAACCCAAACTTCAAAGTCCCACAGGATGATTGATGCTCATATAACTTTTTTGGAAGTTAGGCATCTAAACTAAGCACCWTCTGCAGATCGTCTTGAAACTCAGTGAAAAGACACCATTTATTTTATGTCTAAGAGAGACAGACAACTTGCTCTCAGGAAGTGGCAGCAATTTAATAATATCTAACATCCAGCCAACAAATATTTAGAGGACTAAAGGCATGCAGAAGAACCAATGTCTTGGGAACCACCTTSCTGTTCTCCCTATTCTCACTAGAAAGTCCTGCAATCACCTTTCATTTACCAGGCAATTGATATGTTACAACTCTGGAGAAGGTAACTGTCATTCCATGAAATATTAGGTGATATATTTCTAGCATATAGAGAGAGCTCATATCACTGTGTACAAAGTACTTTATCTGAAATACTGTATACAACTTGTATAATTCTAGTCACATATTCACAAGAAAGATTTCCACAAAGGAAGAACGGATGCAAAGAAGAGATTAGCATGATCAGACAAGTGCAGAGATTATCTTAGAAAGAAAAGCTAAAAGAAATTGAGTTGTATAGCTTAATCAAACAAAGCCTGATTTTTAGATAGATAGATGTAGTTGTTTTTTAAACTATATGAAGAAAACAAGCACTGGACAGGGTCATAAGATATAAGATATAAGATATAAGATATAAGATATAAGATATAAGATATAAGATATAAGATATAAGATATAAGATATAAGATATAAGATATAANAGATATAAGATATAAGATATAAGATATAAGATATAAGATATAAGATATAAGATATAAGATATAAGATATAAGATATAAGATATAAGATATAAGATCAAACAGCAAATAAAGAGGCTAGTTGAGGAAAGGTTTTAAGAAAAACGCTTCAAACCTTAGAGCTTTCCAACAGGAACAGCAGGCACAAAACTGTTAGTGAATTTTACAGTTAAAAGGACTTTAAGATTAAAAATTTAAAAATTCAAATTTAAAGATTTAAGATCAAGTGGTGTCTGGTATAGGAAAAGCCTAGACYTGAGGATCCAAATAGCATTTTCTTGTCCTATGGTCTACTGCAAAATGAATTACTACACATCCATTTATTGTGGGCTTCTCCTACACAGCTTTTAACAAAACCCCAGTGTGACCGTGCAATCAGTCCCTCTCTTCCCTCCTCTCAGCCCAGCTCCTCATCTAAACTTTAGCCTTTCCTGACCATAATTTCCCTCTGCCCTTATGCATCTCCAAACACAGTCACGTCATTCTACACATTCCCTCAAGCCTTTTGTCTCAAGCTATTCCTTCTGTCATTTCCCCTTTCACTACCTCTAAAAATAGTACCCTGAAGCAGACATCAGACACGCAAGGTTTCAACCTAGGCAGTTGAAGCCATTCTAGTGCAGWGTTCACTCAATGAACAGTGAAGCAGGACTCCTCTTTGCAAAAGGTAATTGGTGTGGTCAAAAAGAAGGAAATGTATTTTGGATCCTTGTTGGATTTTCTATTTTTTTTTTTGCTCTTTCCAGGATTTTCTTGGCAGGAGTCCAAGGGTAACTTTGTAGCCAAGAAATTCACTTACCCACCTCACTTCTGACAATTTGGTTATGAGCTCAGTGTCCTGGGAAAGGCACTTATCAATGAAGACTGAAAAGGGTGGGAAGGGGCTTTAACATCACACCCGGCAATGTTACGAAGCACATTCTCGTCAGAGGCAGATACAGGGAGACKGTGCTCACATGCTTGGTCTTTGCTTGTGCAAGCAAGCCACTGATGCTTCGCCTACAGCAGTTCAGCTTCAGCCTAGCTTACATGCCACTGTCAAAACGAAATGGCATCAATTTTTTTCTTGACGTGCATGCCACAYTGAATAAAACGATTCCACTCCTATTGCAGCTCAGCGAGAAACATTCTCTGTTGCTAGGGATGTGGCTATTTTTGGATGTAACCTAAATATTGTATGTAAAAGAACAGAGAGGTCACTACACTCTGAATGTGCAAATATCTTACAAGGCTTTTGGGCAGCACAATGGCCAACGTTAGTGTCTGCAACACAGCCTAGTAGTGGAGCAGCGTAATGTGCTTTTCACTTAGCTGTCACATATGCTACATCACACAAAAATGCAGCAAGACACTGAAAGATGCAGTTACAGTTTAGTATTCTGCTAATATGGCCATACGTAGTTCTATTTTTGGCTATAACCTAAATAGAAAATGTGAAAGCACAGAAAGGTCTCACTTTCATAYGAATAAAAATAATTTATGTATATATTTTAATTTATTATTGGTTTTCTTTTGCTACTAAAGAAATCAGGCTGGATCTTTAAAATACCCTTCCTTTCTCAAACTTCAAATAATTCCTATTAYATCAAAATATTTTTACAATTTCTGGGTACTAAAAACTGTAATATTAAATATGTTAAAAAAGTCAGGGATTTAAGTTTTGCTTAAATTGTAATTATGGAGTGGCTCTAAGTGTCTTTTAAATATTTAATACTTTGGGCATTTTTATATGCATATTTTTACGGAAGCAATACAATGAACCTCATTAGAAGTTCAGAGGGTGATACATGTTTATATTTCTAACACTAAATGTGTGTGAAAGCACTTAAAGCTTAAATATAGTTTATAACCAAACTTACATATTTTATTTTTAGTGAAATRTCTATTGGTAATTACTGAAAAAACATACAATCCCACTATTTTAATATAAAATTAATGAAAGCATCAATGAAAGCATTGATTTTTCTGCATAGAAATAACATTTAAGTCCAGAGGAATTTGGATTAAGAAGTACTTTCCAAGAACGAGTGATAGTTTCCTTTCCAGCCTCAGATCACAGGAAAGGATTCCCCAGCATRTCTTTAACACGACTATCTTATTTCATTTTAAATATTAGCAAATCTAAAGCATGTGTAGAAATAAAAGTAAATGAACTACAGCTTCTGTCCTCTTCTGATTATTTTAATATAAGCACTTTTTTAATGACTTACATATTTTAGAGATATGTAAGTTATATCAAATATATAGTTGATTTTCCAGTAAATTAATGTTTGTGTTCATCAGCACCAAATTAACAAYAACTGACATCACTTTCTAAGGGTAGATACAGCTTCACAGTATCTGTGTCCCCTTGTACACACATTATCCTTATGTAATACATAGCCTTCGGACTTTCTATGGGGGTTACACATATGTCTATCTACCTATGCCTAGGCACCACATACGCCTATTTATAGGATTGAACAGAAAGAACTGTCAAAGGTGATATCCATGATTTTTTCCCCCACTATTAAAAGCTCCTGAAAATATGCACCACGTTTCACATATGCATTTTAAAAAATAAAAGTCATCTGAATGACTGAAATACAGTGAAATTCAATGGGACACATTTTGGTTGATCTATTTAYAGAGATCAGGGATAAACTTCCATTTTTTAAACTGTTTAATCTAAGAACATGAGTTTCAAGATCTTCCTCATAGAAATGCCAAACTTAGGATACAAGTCAAATCAAAGGAATGGCACTACCTGACCAATACATTTGGCTCATATTTACAATGGTATTTTTCTGATGTGTTACTGCTTACTACACAATTACCTTTATGCGTGCACATTTGGGAACTTCAATAATCCATAGGCAAAGMACTCAAAAACTTCACAAAATTATAAACAAGATTCACTGCACTGATTAAAAACTATCACCAATATTATTTTGCACATAGTAAAACTGAATTCCATAGATCAGAAACYAGAGAGGACTCATATAACACACCCACTTAGCTCTCTGACAAGGATGAACTTACAAGGTATTTAAATTTCACTTACATCTTCTTTACCTTCAGCTATGCCTGCATATCCTAAATGCTGATGAAATCTCTTTTACCAACACATGATCATACTACACCCAGAGTTTCCAAGTCAGTTCTTGGCTTTGGAAAATATATTTAAGGGTCCTGAAATTTCTTTCAGGTGCCATGAAATTATCCTGTTATCCTGAAGACRAATCGTGAGAGCACCTTCTTCCACACTGACATCAGCCCAGTATAGACACAGAGTCATATGCCAGGGATCAAAAAAGCAGTATGTACTTACCACAAGAACAGCACTTAAGCGATTGCTTTGGACCTGCTGCACTTGGATGCAAGGTCCTGACATTTGTAACCCTGAGCCACTGGGAAGGTTCCCAGCATCACCATTAGGGATGCTGCCATTACCAGGTGCAAGGCCTACAGATGCCCTGTACAAGTAGGTATGAGTCAGTTTGCCCACACCAGTAACTTCCAGCATATCTGGTGTGAAGTGGGAGCTGGGGAGCATGCGGACATTGTAGCAATGCTTCTCATACTCATCCACTGGACAGCAGTGACAGCAGCTGCAGCATCCATAGTGATGGGAAGTCCGGCAGTGGCACAGCCGTGCAAAGACAAGGAAGAGCAGGAATGCTGCAAAGACACAGGCGACACAGGCAAGGGAAACAATCAGGTAGAGGTTTGTGGCATTGAGCAGGGGTGGGGGCTCCCCACTGTCATCAAAGTCAGGCAGTGCCTGGGGCAGGGAGTCAGCCAGCAGGATACCCACAGTCACGGTYGAAGAGAGTGGCGGGTCCCCATGGTCGCGCACCACCACGACCACCTTGTGCTTGAGAAAGTCAGTGGTGCGCATGGAGCGYGTGGTACGCAGCTCACCGGAGTGTGGTACCAAGTGGAACAGTGWGGAATCAGAGGATTGGGCAAGATGATAGGAGAGCCAGGCATTCTGTGCGTTGTCATTATCATCTGCCACCACTTTGGTCACCAGGTAATCCTCATCAGCCAGGCGGGGCACAATTTCCACAGCTATGGAGCCATTCTGGCTAATGGGATACAGGATGGCTGGAGCATTGTCATTCTGGTCTGAGATGTAAACATTCACAGTTATGGCAGTGCTCAAGGCTGGTGATCCATTGTCTTTGGCTTCCACTTGGAAATGGAAGCTCCTAAACTGCTCAAAGTCAAAGGCACGTTTTGCATAGATGCTCCCATTGGCCAAGCTCACAGATAAAAAACTGGTCAGGGCATCGCCTGCAACTGTGGAGTTCCTGAGCACGTAAGAGACTCGTCCATTTTCCCCCACGTCAGGGTCAGATGCTGAAACGCGATAAAGAAAAGCACCAAGTGGATTGTTCTCCTCCACAGAAACGTTACAGGCATCAGCAGTGAAGAGAGGGGGGTTGTCGTTCACGTCGGAAATCTGCACCCAAAGGGTCTTCTGAGAAGTAGTGGGAGGGGATCCCAGGTCTGTGGCAGTAATGGTGATGTTGTACTCACTAATCAACTCTCGATCCAGAAGCCCACTAGTGATCAGGCTGTAGTAATTTTCAAGGGAGGGTTTTAGCTGGAAGGGAAGGTTAGCAGGGATCTGGCAGGTTATCTTCCCATTCTCCCCAGGGTCTTTATCCATAATACTCAGCAGAGCTATCACAGTGCCAGGTACAGCATCTTCRGGGATGGGACTAGAAAGGGATGCAATTGTTATCTCTGGGGCATGATTGTTCACATCAGTGATTTCCACCAGCAGCTTGGCTGTGCTGGACATGCCAAATGCCCCTTTATCCCTTGCCTCAATAAGCATCTCAAGAAGAGGTCTCTGAACAGTTAAAGCGCCATTGACTGTCACCTCCCCAGTGTGAGGGTGAATTAAGAACATTTGCTGTAGATCAGCAGCAGTGCTATTGCTAAATGAATACCTGACTTCTCCATTTGGACCTTCGTCCAAATCTGTGGCATGTACTCGGACAACCAAAGTGCCATTGGGGGAGTTTTCCAAGATACTCGCCCTGTAGACCGAGTGCTCAAATTCCGGTGCGTTGTCATTGGTATCCAGCACAGTCACAATGACCTGGACATCACCAGACTTTGGGGGATTCCCACCATCTTTGGCTGTAAGGTTAAGTCTGTGAGTGGCTTGCTGCTCCCTGTCTAAGGCTTTCTCCAGCACCAATTCAGGATACTTACTCCCATCCCCGCGTGTCTGCATTTCCAAACGGAAATGTTCATCAGGGCTCAGAGTATAATTCTGGACACCGTTGGAACCTTCATCCAAATCCTGGGCCATGGGGAGCGTAAACCGTGTCCCGGGTGACAGGAACTCAGCCACTTTTACATGATATTCACTTAGGGAAAAGCTGGGGGAGTTGTCATTTATGTCCAGGACTTTAAATTTCATCCTATAAAGCTCTAGAGGGTTTTCTAGCACAAGTTCATAATTCAGAAAACAGGTAGATTTTAATTCGCAAACCTGCTCTCTGTCTATGGGTTCCTTAACAGTTAAAGCCCCCGTGCTTACATCTATATTAAAATATTGCTTACTTGAACTGCTGATCATGCGAAATTTCCGTGAAGAAAGTGTAGCCGCCTTTATTCCTAAGTCTTTTGCTATATTTCCAATGGACACTCCACGTTCCGTTTCCTCCGTGATGGAATACACTATTTGCCCACGTGTAGTGCAGGAAATAAGGCAGAAAACCATTAAGTAGACCCGCATTCTTCCTCCCCTAGCTCAGCTCCCCGCAGCCCGTCTCAGCAGTAACATAATCCAACAGCTCGACGAGGACCTGAAGCTCCCGGGGCCGGAGGAACCGCTGAGAGGCTTCCCGGACGCAAAGTTCGCTGCAGGTGCGGGGAGCCCCCCGTGCCCCGCCGCGGCTCGCCCCGCAGCCGAGCGCCGAGAGCCGCCAGCCGCTGCGCGCGCCGCGCTGCTCTCCGTGGCGGCCCCGCGGCCGAGTGCGCGGGCTCCGCGCGCGGCGGCGCCACCCAGAGCCCGCGCGGAAAGCGGCAGGGGCTGCAGCTCCCCCCCCGCGCCTGAAGCCCACGTCGGTCGGCGGTGGCTGCTGCTTTTTTTTTTTTTTTTTTAATCCTCCCCTTCCTTCGTTCTCTTTAACGCCCCTCGGGAGCCGCGAAGGGCCTCTGCCCCCCGCCAAGACCGCAGCATGGACGTGCTTCCGTGAGAGACGCGAAGACGACGCGCTCCCTCCCTCTCCCTGGTCCTGGCGGATTCGCAGCAGAGCCAGGGAGAGGCTGCGCCCGTCTCACTCTGGCAGAGAAGCCGGGTGGAAGGGAAACGCGTATGAGAAGTGACAGGCATCGGCTAAACACGGGTCAGCACAGTCCCGGCACACTCCAGCTGAGCACAACATCTCCCAGAGGGGGCTTAAGAGCAGAATTAAAGCAGGCAGCCGTCTCTGCTCTTTCAAGCAAAAAAAAAAAAAAAAAAAAAAAAAAGCAGACATGACAAAAATAACTTAAAAAAATAAATAAAACTCTCGCCTGATTCTCCTTCTTTCTCCTTCTAGGCGAAATAAAATAACTTTGATTATTGGAGAAAAGGCTCTCTCGTCTGACTCACCCAGTCTGATCACCTGCAACCAAAGAAAAGCTCCATAAAACACAACAGAGCAGGATCGGGACAGCTCTGCTCAGCATACGGATGGGGAAATTAGGAAGCTGCAACAGTCAAGTTACTTGCACAGGAATAGGTATCGATGCCAGGGACGTCTGGGGTTTAGGACATCTTCGAGACCACAGGCGAAAGACAAGCTAATACCACAGAAAAATATCAGACCATGTATGGAAATCAAAGATCTCCACTCCCCTGATTTCCTGCACCGAGGATACAGGTAGCACCTGCTCACTGCGAGTGTAGGAGAAGGCAGAAAACATTTCAGTATGCTTTCCCTAAAAGTGGGGCTCACTGTCTTTCCCYAGCACTTTCTACAGTCTGTTTTCAGCTCGTGAAAACTGCCCATTCTCCTCCGTTTCCAGCTTTCTTCTAYGAGAGTCTATTGTTGTGATATCCTCATCAATCAATAAAGGGAGAGGTCATAAACACAAGGCAGACTTTAACCATTCTTGCACTGGTTGTGATTCTATTTATTTCAGCTAAGAATGTCCAGACCACCGAAAAAGAGCATTTCAATTACTCAAACTAGCAGTGCCTCTAAAAATAGGAGAAAACCGGGAGCAGAGCCAGGAAGGATTCATTAAATAAAAATTTGATACATCTGTCTATCCTTAACTCAGCAAAACCTCCAAGAGAGGTTCCTATCCTACCGGCRCTAGAAAGAGCCTTTGCTCACCGCAGCACAAGTGTATGTATTATTAAGTGTATGTGATTATTAAGATTTCCTGGTAATGTTTAAATGCTGCATTTCCCATTTATTGCATTGTTGTAACCTGTAACCCTACCCCTGCACCTGTAGGAGCTGCAGTGGGTAGTTTATCTGTCTTAGCTCACAGACCTTGTAAATTCAGCTGTTGCCATTGTATGCAATATATAACACAATTATAATATTTACAGTCCGCTATTTACCTGGGCTTCTCCCTCCCCAATAACTGTAGACGCCTCCATTTCCCCCTTAAAAATCACACACACACACACACACACACAAAAAAAAAAAAAAAAAAAAACCCACACCATCCAGACGTACACACGTTTCCAAATTTCTCCAGACTTCCCATCTACTCAGAACGTGATGTTGTCAATAAATTTGGAAAAATATGCTGGTTTTGCTTCTGTGTGAGAAATGTGAAGTTACTATAAACATGTTTGACCAAATGTTGCTCAAGTCAAACAAAAACAGCAAGAGGCCTTGGCCAATGGTAAATGACACTACTCTTTCACTACCTGAGATAATTTCTTCAGCTTTCTGTTATATTTCTTCTTCTTCTCTTTTTTTTTTCCTCTCTCTCTTTCCTTCTTTCCACTCTTGACTGTAAAAACAGAATGATGYCCCCGGAAGTCATACGGTATTGAACATAACTTACTGGAACACGAATATTACCGGGAGAGTAATACCCAACCTCTCCTCCCATTCCTGTCACACTCCCTTTCCGGTCCAGACCAAACGAGTGTCTGACACGGGTTGATTGTACGATTAATATATGGGTCACGTGAAAAGTCCTGGATCGCAGCTAAAAATAAACCGCTTAATAATAGTAGTATATATGGCCAATGTGTTTCGCCCGGGTGCTCAGTGTCTTAAGGATGTCACAACATTCACTCTCCACTCTTACTCTTGTTCAGACGCTCTTCGTGTAATCACTTAGAGGTGCGATCAGTTGAGGCTCTACAACCTTACAGTGTCTCTTTGTCACGGTCAGGCTCTTTCCCTAACTGCTCTATTTGCACAAGCTCTATTAATTAGCTTTAAATACAAACGCCTCTCCCGGTTAACTCATCACAGGGGACGATGTAACTACTTCTAAAAGCTTCATTTTGGATGTCACCTTTGCCCTCAGTTTGCCCTCTCTAAGCAGTTTCCTAATCCCTTCTCTCCAGGTTACCCACCCACCAAGCTATTTTGGCACGAGTCGCCAAGGAGTGAAACTTTCTGTGACCCTAAGGGCACGTCCTGCGACTTCTGAGGTCTTACCCACCGCTTCTCAATCCCTCCACAATCTTCTGCTCCCCAATGTGCTCACAAAGCGTTTCTTTCACGTCCTCCCACCCATTTGGCTGCTGCATCGTTGCATTTACACTGCATCAGAGCCCTGAGCATTCCTTAAATCCTCTTTCTCCAGCCCCATCTTATATTCTCAGCCAATCACTCCTATTTTCAGCAGTAAGACGTCATTTCTCCAGGCGTGCATACCATGCTTGAAGMAATGGTAGCTGCTAGAAGAAAGAACAAAGAAGAGAGTTAAAACAATTTATACCGTTGTTCTGGAGCACATGGCTACACCACGCGATGATTATTTCAATACACCCTCAGGGGATGCAACAAAGTCCGTGCAGGCACCGATCGGCGTCTCTGGAGTAGGCTGACAGATCACAGACACCTCTAGATCTATACCAAAGTTGGGGAAAAAGGGAGCAGTAGAACTCGCCCTGTTTCTCCGACGGGTCCCAAACACGACGAGGGACCTCGCTGATGYTAAATCCGATCAGGCACTTCTGCCGCAGCAGAGTGTCTTCATCAGAAGGGGTTGGATCCGCCCGGAAGAGCAGATGGAGCGACAACTCTGCAGTTTCTCCGCTGAGGTGAACGGATGAGCAACCCATTGCGGCAGGGACAGGTGCTCCCGGACCCGCAGGCAGAGCCAGCTCTGATCTCCATCCGGAAAGATACACGGGAAAAAAAAAAAAAAAAAGAAGCAAGCTCGTACCCTAACAGGGTGTCACAAGAGTCTATCAGTAAACCGGACGTGTCTGAGGAACACCGGAACCAGTGCAGGGGCTCCTCGTAGGACTGAGACCGAATGCCGGCATGGAGCTGGGGCATAACAGCTGCCGACGGAGGGACCCCGCTATTGCCTTCCTACGTGAGCACACCCGGGCAGAGACGAACACAAAGACGGTGGTAGCCCGAGCGCCCAGAGCACCGGGCTCCTTAGCTCGGACTCCAGGTGGCCACAGCACTCGCTAATGTCCCCAGACTGTGTCCAGTGGGACCGAGCCCGRCAGGGTCTCTGCCGTCTGTGCAATGTTCAGCCCCGCTGCCCCGCGCTTCCCTCGCTGTTGACCCCAAGGCTGGGGATGATGCCCTGCTGTTACCGCAGCTCCGACTCCGCCTATCCCCTGTGTTTAGSCAGGCTATGACTGCTGCCGGAGCAGGTAGCGATGTCTGGATGCCTTTGACCAAACCATGGGAGCTCGCCATTGCGACGTGGGGACAGTGGGAACTGAGATTACTCAGAAGAGCTCGGGAAAATAAGTCTCGTACTCAGAGGACTTTTACATTTCAGCGACCGCCCCGCAAATCCTCATGACCTACATYAGGCAATAGAAATACTGGCACCGTGCCATCTGCTACACTGCAGGCAAGAASACTGGTCTGTTCCACCCCAAGTCCCAGATTTTTATTTATCCCTGTCAGACACCACCGAGTTTTGCGGGAGCTGCCGGCGGACACCGGCGACACCGGGTACGAGTGACAGGAACTGCATATGCAAAAGTGTGACTCCAAGCCAAGCACCCTGTGGCGATGCCACGGCCACCCCTGTTACCACCCCACTAGGACTTGGTATTTCCCTGCAAAATTGCCTGCGAAACAGCCTCCCGCCGGCGGGTCAGCGCGGAGCGCGGCAGCCGCCGCTCCGCCGCTCGCGGCCGCCCCTTCCGCTCCCGCCTTCCGACTCCCGGGGCCGCCTACAGACGAACGGCTGCAGTGCACCCAGCTCCACCCCGCGAARCCGAGGAAACGCTTGGAATCGTGCAAGTCTCTTCAAACGGCACAAATATTCTCCTAACCGCAAATAATCGTCATTAAGATATCASCGTTTTATCGCTTTTAATCTTAGCCCACAGAAATATTCCGACTCCCCACGACCTCCGCGGTCTCTCGGGAGGGAATGGCTTTTGCACCTTATTTAAAATGAGTAAAAACTTCTAAACTTAAAGCAGAAAAAACTCTCAGTTTTCATTTACGAAATATGGGTCTTCCCTTTAGCAAATATGTTTTCTGTCAGTTGATTTTGAATCAAGGAACACCTTCCTAGATCAAGGAAAATCCCTCCCGAAGCAAGGAAAACTATCCTAGCACTTCTTACCACACTGTAATA